TGATTATATACACCTGGAAAATCCTAGAGGGACTAGTACCGAACTTGCACACGAAAATCACTCACTACGAAAGCAAAAGACTTGGCAGACGATGCAACATCCCCCCAATGAAAAGCAGGGGTGTCACTAGCACGTTAAGAGACCATACAATAAGTGTCAGGGGCCCGAGACTGTTCAACTGCCTCCCAGCACACATAAGGGGGATTACCAACAGACCCCTGGTAGTCTTCAAGCTGGCACTGGACAAGCACCTAAAGTCAGTTCCTGATCAGCCGGGCTGTGGCTCGTACGTTGGTTTGCGTGCAGCCAGCAGCAACAGCCTGGTTGATCAGGCTCTGATCCACCAGTAGGCCTGGTCACAGACCGGGCCGCGGGGGCGTTGACCCCCGGAACTCTCTCCAGGTAAACTCCAGGTCCATCATTCTTGAGAAAAGTACAGCTTATGTGTGAAGTGGCTTATATACTGTAGACTGTTGAGGTGAAGCAGTCGTAGGTGGTATCACACTTGACAAATCCAAATGTGGAAGTAGTTCATGCCTAAAGGTAAACATAAGAACATAAGGAAGGAGGAACACTGCAGGAGGCCTGTTGGCCCATACTAGGCAGGTCCTTTAAGTGAAGTGAAGTGAAGTGAAGAATTCACTAGCCTAACCTGTAGACATGATCTACTTCCACATTTGAATTTGTCAAGTGTGATACCACTTACTGTATTTGTGTATACCTGAATAAATTTACTTACTTACTTACTTACTTACAGCTGCTTTCCCTCACCTGTCTAAAGTATATAAGCCACTTCTTTGCATATATGCCACCAAAAGTTAAAGAAAAAAATAAGGGAGACAATGGCCATGTACAAACGGGACCCAGAGACTCAGAGGGAAAGGCAATGGGAAGAGGAGAGGAAGAAGTCATTGTTTATTCATGGGCTCCAGGAGAGTGAAGGGAGGACACACAATGAAAGACGACAGAAAGAAAAACAGAAGATTGAAAATATCACCAAAGAAATAGGCGATATTTTCAGAAAAATAGGCAAATTTTCAGAAAATAGGAGGAGTACTTAAAGGGGAGAAATCGGCCAGTCAAACTGATTTTCAAGACAGAAACAGTGTGGAACAGGATCCAGCAACAGAAACCACGGCTGAAAAATCATCAACATACAAGAGGGTGTTCCCAGACCATGACAGAACAAGAACAGAATGACAGCAGCTAAGGGAGAGGGCACAGAAACGAAGGGGGCTAGGACGAGAGACAAGGACAGAGTCAGCAGAGGACAACCAGAGCAGGGCAGAGCAACAAGCGCAAGCACACAAAGAACCACCCTCACAACCCCACACCCCACAGTCAAACACGCTATCCCAACACAACCCACAATCCATACTTAGAGCCAGCCCCCACCCCACACTATGCTGTAGAATCCCACAGCACACTGCCAGATTCAACACGCCCAAAGGCCCCTCAGAACACAGTGTTAAGAGGAAACTGAAGGTATGATACGCCAACGCTGATGGTACAACGAATAAGTGGGAGGAGTAGCATGAAAGAATCAAAGAGACATCACTGGACATCATAGCTCTCACACAAACCAAGCTCACAGGAATGATAACAAATGCCATTTTTTCTATGGAATATCAGATCTTGAGGAAAGACAGAGGGGGTGGAGGAGAGGCACTGCTGATCAAAAACCAATGGGATTTTAATGAGCTGGAGAGAGAAGATAGAGGAGAAGCAAGAGACTAAATAATAGGAAAACTTCAGTGTGGAGGTCCCATGGTGGTAATTGCAGTGATGTATAACCCACCACAGAACAGCAGGAGGCAAAGGCATGAGTATGATGAGAGTAATAGAGCAATGGTTGACACACTGGGTGAAGTGGCCAGAAGGGCTCATGCGAGCAGGGCAAAGCTGCTGATTGTAGGCGACTTTAATCATAAGGAAATTGACTTGGAGAACTTGGAGCCACATGGGGACCCAGAAAGGTGAAGGGCTAGGATAATGGAGGTGGTACTGGAAACCCTCATGTACCAACACATACAGGATACTACCAGAGAGAGAGGAGAGTATGAACCAGCAAGACTGGACTTAGTATTCACCTTGAGTAGCACTGATATTAAGGACATCACTTATGAAAGACTGCTCAGGGGCAGTGACCATGTGGTTCTGAGCAATGAATACATAGTAGAGCTACAAGTGGAGAGGGAAGCAGGAAGGGCAGGACGAATGAAGCCAAACTACAAGAGAGGGGACTACACAAGCATGAAGAATTTCCTGCACAGGGTTCGATGAGACAAAGAACTGCCAGGGAAGTCAGTAAATGAGATGATGGAATATGTGGCAACAATGTGTAAGGAAGCTGAAGAGAGGTTTGTACCCAAGGGTAACAGAAATAACGAGAAAGCCAGGATGAGCCCTTGGTTCACCCAAAGGTGTAGAGAGGCAAAAACCAAGTGTGCTAGAGAATGGAAGAAGTATAGAAGGCAAAGGACCCAGGAGAATAAGGAGAGCCGTTGTAGAGCCAGAAATGAATATGCACAGGTAAAAAGGGAGGCCCAACAACAATACAAAAATGACAGCAGTGAAAGCCAAATATGACCTGAAGCTGTTGGACAGCCACATCAGGAGGAAAACAACAGCCAAGGACCAGGTAATCAGGTTGAGGAAGGAAGGAAGGGAGATCACAAGAAATGACAGTGAAGTATGTGAGCAGCTCAACATGAGATTCAAAGAAGTGTTCACTGAGGAGACAGAAAAGACTCCAGAAAGACGCATAGGTGGGGTACACCATCAAGTGTTGGACACAATACATACAACCGAGGAAAAAGTGAAGAAGCTGCTAAGTGGGCTAGATACCTCAAAGGAGATGGGGCCGAATAACATCCCTCCATGAAAGAGGGAGCAGAGACGCTGTGTACCACTAACAACAATCTTCAGCAATCTTCAGGACCCCAATGGAAATAAAAGGACTCCAATGGTAATAAGTCACTCTGACTTTTTTTGGGTTATCCCAGGTTCTCTACAAATATGCTGCTATGTATGATAATCTATGTAACTGTATTTGTGTATACCTGAATAAACTTACTTACTTACCTACTTACTTACTTACTTAATTACTTATCTATCGAAACAGGGTGCCTACCTGAGATATGGAAGACAGCAAATGTAGTCCAAATTTTAAAAAAAAACAGACAGACACGAAGCATTAAACTACAGACCATTATCACTGACATGTATAGGTATGCAAAGTCATGGAGAAGATTATCAGGAGAAGAGTGGTGGAACACCTAGAAATGAATGAGCTTATCAACAATAACCAGCACGGCTTCAGGGACAGGAAATCCTGTATCACAAAGCTACTGGAGTTCCATGGCAAGGTGACAGCAGTATGAAAAGAGAGAGAGAGGTTGGTAGACTGTTTTTTTCTTGGACTGTAAGAAGGCATTTCACACAGTTCCACACAAGAGATTAGTGCAAAAGCTAGAGGACCAGGCAGGGATAAAAGGGAAGGCACTGCAATGGATCAGGGAATACCTGTCAGAAAGACAACAACAAGTCATGGTACGTGATGAGGTGTCAGAGTGGATGCCTGTGACGAGCGGGGTTCCACAGGGGTTAGTCCTAGGACCGGTGCTGTTTCTGATATATGTGAATGACATGACAGAGGGAATAGACTCAGAAGTGTCCCTGTTTGCAGATGATGTGAAGTTGATGAGAGGACCAGGAAGTTGATGACGAGGACCAGGAACAACTACAAAGAAATCTGGACAGGCTGTAGGCATGGTCCAGAAACTGGCTCCTAGAGTTCAACCCCACAAGAGCAAAGTCATGAAGATTGGGAAATGCAAAGAAGACTGCAGACAAAGTACAGTCTAGGGGGCCAGAACCTACAAACCTCACTCAAGAAAAAGGATCTTGGTGTGAGTATAACACCAAGCACATCTCCTGAGGTGCACACCAACTAAATAACTGCTTCAGCATACGGCAGCCTAGCAAATCTAAGAATAGCATTCCAACATCTCAATAAGGAATTTTCAGGACCCTGTATACCATGTACGTTAGCCCTATATTGGAGTATGCAGCACAAGTTTGAAATCCACACCTAGCTAAGCACGTGACGAAATTAGAGAGAGTGCAAAGGTTTGCAATAAGACAGGTCCCGGAGCTAAGGGGAATGTCCTATGAGGAGAGGTTAAGGGAAATCGACCTGAGGACACTGCAGGACAGAAGAGACAGGGGGGGATATGATAACGACATATAAAATACTGAGAGGAATCGACAAGGTTGATAAGGACAGGATGTTCCAGAGATGGACAAAGCAACAAGGGGTCACAGTTGGAAGTTGAAGACTCAGATGAGTCACAGGGATGTTAGGAAATATTTCTTCAGTCACAGAGTTGTCAGGAAGGGGAATAGTCTGGGAAGTGATGTAGTGGAGGCAGGATCCATACATAGCTTTAAGAAGAGATATGATAAAGCTCATGATGTATCAAGAGTGACCTAGTAGTGGCCAGTGAAGAGGCGGGACCAGGAGCTATGAATCGACCCCTGCAATCACAACTAGGTGAGTACACACACACACAAACTAAAAACACCTGGCCAAGTGTCTATCGACAAGTGCCTATGACAACAGGTAACTAACATACCAGTATCTGGCGGCCTGGTGGCTAAAGCTCCCGCTTCACACACGGAGGGCCCGGGTTCGATTCCCGGCGGGTGGAAATTCCGACACGTTTCCTTAAAAAAACCAAACAAACGTTTCCTTACACCTATTGTCCTGTTCACCTAGCAGCAAATAGGTACCTGGGTGTTAGTCGACTGGTGTGGGTCGCATCCTGGGGGACAAGATTAAGGACCCCAATGGAAATAAGTTAGACAGTCCTCGATGACGCACTGACTTTCTAGGGTTATCCTGGGTGGCTAACCCTCCGGGGTTAAAAACCCGAACGAAATCTTATCTTATCTTATCTTATCTTATAAACTTACACCTTGGTCGAGGTTTCCAACCCGGACACTGGAAGGCAGGACTCGATACGGTGTAGTGTCAGTGGCTCTATAAACCCAAACAACAACAACAACAGCTGGGCAACGTGTTAATATAGAATAATTATAGCTTTTCAACTTAGGTATTAGTGTTTCTTTACTGTAGTCATAATTTATCTCTTTTATTGTCCTCTCAGTTCTTTAATGTTTTTTTTCAGGTGGTTACCAACTATTAACGTAGTGAGTGATGCAATATTCAGGAACAACAGATGTAAGATGCAAAACAACCACAGAGGGAGTTGAATGATAGCTCTAGGCCTTTCATGTTGCAATCAACACATTATCAGGAGCTTGCAATGTTGCAGGAATGAGTAGGAAGTTCAAGCACATTTATTCAAGGGAACGTTTGACCTCATTTGAATCTGAATTTCCTGCCTATTACTGCAACACTGCAAGCTCCTGATGTGTTGATTGAAACACAAAAGGCCTAGAGCTATCATTCAACTCCCTCCCCTGGTTATTTTTCATAGTGAGTGATAGTTGATCACTACATAATAGGGATTGGTTTAGTAATAACTTCTCTCTCATTATTTACTCTTTATATTCCCTTATATATACTTCACATAGCACATTGTTTTCCCCTAGTGTTATATTTTATTTGTAGTGTAGTGCCTTTAAAATTATCAAAAAACAGAGATGCTTGGTAGTTTATGGTACAATAATTATAACCAGTGGAAATAAGTCCCTCTGTCTGTCTTTTTTTGGGTTATCTTAAGTGATGTATATTATATATAATTACTGGAGTATACCTGGAGAGAGTTTTGGGGGTCAACGCCCCCATGTACCTACCTAAATAAACTTATTTTCAGAGATGTTAGTTATACCTGGAGAGAGTTCCGGGGGTCAACGCCCCCTCGGCCCGGTCAGTGACTAGGCCTCGTGGTGGATCATGATGATAATGCACCATATTAAAGAAAACCAATAAAGATACTTGGTTAGATTTACTATATTACGGAGTTTTGCTGTATCGTGAATGATCACCATGAAACATTAAGACAAGTTCATAAAGAAGATACTTGTGTAACATTTGGATATCTTTTTTCGGAAAACATTTCCAAAATAAAAACACCGAAATCTTGCACAAGTGTCCCATTTATCAACTTGTCAATTTTCTAACCCATTTATTCACATCAAGGCAGGTGCCTTGATGCTGGTGAAGGTTCTTGATCCAAGGAATTAAAGCTGCCTTCCATGATCAAGCTTGAGTGTCTCCCATTCTTAAAGCATTGCATGGCCAAAAAGTGTATATTGTTGTATTTAACACCAAATGAACAATGCCAGTCAGTATGGTTTTAGCACCTCTGTTATGAATATTAATAAATAACACTAAAGTAGTATAATAATAAGGTATTAAAAGGACCCCAATGGAAATAAGTCACTGACTTATTTTGGGTTATCCTATGTATGATAATCTATGTAACTGTATTTGTGTTAATCTGAATAAACTTACTTATCTTACTGATGGCTGTTGTCAGGTCTGGCATTATCATCAGCATTAATCTCACGGGGGGTTGTAGAGTGCCAGGGAAATGGCACTCTCTAACCCTATGTGAGATTAATGCTGATGATAATGCCAGTTAATGGTCAAGTTGAACTGAAACATTGTCATGAGTTTTTGTCTCCTATGCATGGGTTATTTACGTATTGTTCCAGTCGCGGCATTGTGCTTTTTTGTTCTTTTTGGGAGACACCCTGATTCTGTACAATGAAAGATATCTCCAGTTCCCATGAAGGAAGCCCTGTAGAGAGCACTATTGACACCTTTGATATACATTTGATGAGTATTGAAAGTCTCACTACTCTCAGACCCCAGCCATGGGCCAGGCTTGTCAGGTGCTTGCCTGGTCAACAAGGCTGTTGCTGCTGGAGGCCTGCTGCCCCACATATACATCACAGCCTGGTTGATCTGGCACCTGGTGGAGATACTTGTCCAGCTTCCTCTTGAAGGCTTCTACACTTGTTCCAGCTGTGTTTCTGATATCTTCTGGTAAGATGTTGAATAGTCTGGAACCCCGGATGTTGATACAGTGTTCCCTTATTGTCCCCACGGCACCCCTGCTCCTCACTGGGTTTATTTTGCACTTCCTCCCATATCTCTCACTCCAGTATGTTGTTATGGCAGTGTGCAGACTTGGGACTAGGCCCTCGAGTACTTTCCAGGTACATATACGTGTATTATTATGTATCTCTCTCTCCTCTGCCCCAGTGAGTACATGTTAAAGACTTTAAGGTGTTCCCAGTAATTTAGGTAATTTACTGGCTCAGTATTTGCCATAAACGATCTCTCTACTTGTTCCAGCTCTGATATTTCTCCTGCTCTGAACAGGGCTGTCAGCACTGCGCAATATTCTAAATGAGGGAGCACTACCGATTTGAAAAGTGTCACCATTGGCATTATTTCCCTCATTTTGAAACTTCTCAATACCCACCCATCTTCCTGGCTGTCATGATCTTTTTCTTATTATGTTCTTTAACCCATAAACGGCCCAAGCAGATCTACGTTCACATGTGTAGTGCTACAAAAGTAGATCTACTTTTTTTTACATATTTTCAAATGTAACAAAAAAAAAGTAGATCAAAGTTTTTTTACACATTTTCAAATGTAAAAAAAACAAAAAGAAGATCTACTTTTTTTACATACTTTCAAATCTTGAAAAAACGTATATATACGTTTGGTCCGTTTATGGGTTAAAAGAAAGGTCAGCTGACATAATTATTCCCAGGTCTTTTATATGTTCCTTCCGTTCTATTTGGTGACCATCTTAAGTTTTGTATATAGTGCTCCTTTTGAGTTCTTCGTTTTTTCCGTACCTAAGCAGCTGGAACTTATCACCATTGAACATCATGTTGTTCTCCACTGCCCCCTGGAAAACACTTCTTATATCTTCCTGTAATTTTTCAGTGTCCTCTACCGTAGTGACTTTCATGCTTATTTTAGTGTCATCTGCAAATGATGATACTAAAGTGTGACGGGTGTTTTTATCTATGTCTGCTATGAGAACTGAGAAACAGTAGTAGTGCCAGGACAGTGCCTTGAGGCATTGAGCTTTTTACCTCACTAATGCTGGATTTTGCTCAATTTACTACTAATTTCTGTGTTGTGTGTGTTAGGAACCCAAATATCCATCTGCCTACCTTCCCCATAATGCCGATGACCCTCATTTTGTATGCTGTCACTCCAAGGTCACATTTGTCAATGCCATTGCAAAATCTGTGTAAATCACATTTGCATTTTGGTTGTCTTCCAATACCTCCATATTGGCAAAAACTCTCGCTTCACACAGTAAGGGTCCAGGTTCGATTCCCGGCAAAGGGGTGGAAATGTTGGACGTGTTTCCTTACACCGGTTGTCTATGTTCACCCATCAGTAAAATGGGTACCTGGGTGTTAGTCGACTGATGTGGGTCACATCCTGGCACAAAACTGACCTAATTTGCCTGAAATACTCTGCATAACACACAGCTTTCTGTAAAGTAGCATGTCATTGATGTCAGCTGGGCCTGTATACCTTGTACATGTACTTGTAGTAAATAAAGATGCTATTATTATTATTATTATTATTATTACATATTACTATTATTATAATGGTTCAGCAGCTGTGACAGGCATGATTGTCCTGCTCTAAAACCATGCTGGTTTGGGTTATACCGGTTGTGCTTGTCTATGAAATTTGTAATTATTATGCAGTGTTCTGCAGTAAAAATATTGTATGAAAACTGCTCCATGTATAATATCGTTGTCCGGGATTGTACTGAAATTGGACACATATTGTTCCTGACCAGGGAAAATACACATCCAGTTAGGGACTACTGGTCTATAAATTTTAGCTGGTGATCTACTATCTCTCTTATGCTAAGAAGCCCTGTCTGCACTCTTTTAAGGCCTCTGGTATTTCACCTAGATCTAGGTGATCTCCAAAGAATGCTGAGAGCTCATGCTAGTGGTACTTTGCACTTCTTTATATATAGAGCATTCCATGAATCTGGTCCAGGTGCTGAATGAGTGGGCATGTTATCCATTTCTTTTTTGGAATTATGTAATATGTACTAATGTCAGTTAGCTAGTCTGTGCAGCCTTCTGCTGGAGTGAAAAATGTTTCTGCATTCTCTACCTTGCTGTCATTTAGCGGGTTGCTGTATGTTAGTATACGAATCTCCTCTCAATAATGGTCCAAGTCTACAGGTAGCTTTTAGCTTGGATTTTGCATAGAAACAGAAATATTTTGGGTTTCTTGCAATATCCTGTATGGCCTTTTGTTCCCTTTGTACATCTTGTGTTAGGTATGACATCCTTAGTTTTTGCTCTAATTCAGTGATCTCTCAGCTAAGGCTATCTTTCCTCTGTTGCAACATATTTGTGTTTTTAAGCAATTTAGTAGCCTGTTTTCTTCTTCTCCACCACCTCCTACACTCTCTCTCTGTATCTGATCTTCTTCTGGGCTTCCTCAATAGTATGTGTTTAATACAGACCTTGTATGCTTTTATATCCAGCTTCTCTAGGTACTGGTGATCATGTCTGATTCCCAGGATATGTCTGATAGCTCTTGGTTTATTTTTTCCCAGTTAATTCTCTGGTTATTGAAATTAAACTCTTGAAACTAAATTCTCCTTGTACTTCATCTTCCCCTTACTCTTACTGTAGCTACCACTAAATAATGATGACATATCCATCACTCTAAAAACATCCATAAGTCTATACTTTATAATCTATCAAACTGTTCTTATTGCACTCAATTTCAGTTCTCAATAATCTCGTATACAGCCTCTCCTCACTTAGCGACATACTCGTTTACCAACGCTTTGGACTTAAAATGGGCTCTTTGACCAGTATTCATACCTCATACTGTACCATTATTCATTTCCTCTATTCTGTTTATTTCAATATAGAGTACACTACTGTATAAACATTTAAAAATTTTCCAGAAATGTTATAAATGGTGCAAAAGTGACATTAACCCTTTCAGGGTCCGGAGGCCAAATTTCAAAGTGTGCACCAGTGTCCAATAATTCTTTCACTTAGCTCAAAATTCCTAATCATTTATTTAATATATCCCAAAATCTCTTAGACACATCTCTGGGTTACAGTAAATGCATACACACTTATTGTAACCCACTTCTCACATCCCATTTTTATTCTTGAGTTTAAACACTTATAATGTCTTTATTTTCTTTCCACAATTGTTAATTTAATATTAACACTACACCTACCTGATTCTCTTGGATACACTGGGCGTAATCCCATTTACCCCTCTCCATTGGAATTCTCCCACCCTTTATACCTTTGTTTCACTTAGTGCTAAAAGATGCAGTTTCTTCTCATAATGTTAACAATAATTTTTTTCCTGTTATCTGTATTACTACCACCACTCACATTCAAACACCCCAGTTTCAGATTTTCTTCATTGATTTTTTAGTGACTGAACACAGAATGGGTCACTACAGTCTTCCTGGAAAGTTATGAGACTAGCTACAGGACAAACTTTTGATCATTGAAACATATGGTTGCAGATGGTTGTAGTCAGGCCTTCTAGAAATCTTGGGCAACTCTCAGACACCAGTTGCAAGAGAGGCCATGTAGCTTCAACAGTGGCCTCATCTGCCTTTGGGTCAAACTTTGTACTATGTTCAGTGAAGCTTGGGTGACGGCATAATGGACGGATAATAATGCTAGAAGTGGACCAGTGTTTTGTTCTCTGCTTCATAGCTGCTCCACCTCTACAGCAGCTATGAAGTAGAGAACAAAACACTGCCGTCTTCTAACATTATTACCCATTATGTGAACCATCATTCAAGCTTCACTGAACATAGTGTAGAGTTTTACCCAAAGGCAGATGAGCCTACACCTGAAGCAGCATGCCCTTACTTGCAACTGGTGTAACGAAAGTGCAGATTTCAGCCACCTGTTGCCATTTCGTTCACTGATGAAACATTTGTCCTGCAGCTGGTATTACAACTTACCACACAGACTGTAACCCCTTGTGCTCCACCTGCGTTTTAATTGCCTTTTACAGCATGTATGGTTTACAGGGGAAGAGTTTAATATTCCAGTATTAATAATAATAACAATAATAACAAAGTATTTCATATTTACAAATTTCAGATGAATAGACGATAGAAAAAAATGACCAAACTGCAGAAGAGAAAGCAAGCAGCATCTGTAAAGAATATTGGCATCAGTGGGATACCCAATGATGAAAGATCTGCATTACTAGAGGAAAATAATGTTGATGATGACAGTCACTATAGACAAAGACAATATGGTGGAGATAAGCAACCTAGGAAACTTAACCAAAACAAACAGCCTAATAAAGAAAACAAAATTTATCTTTTCATTCTTTCAGGTATGTTATCCAGCCAAGTTACCTTGTCTGGAACAATTTGCAACTAACCTACAATTTTGAGACTTAACTTTTCACTAAATTTTGATCTATCTTGATCCATTGTCAAATTGTTGACAATGGTTCCAAGTTGACAATGACAGTGGTCCAGAATGGCCAGAAATATCATCTAAAGTTTACTCTCTAAATTTTTTTTTGTGTGAAATGCATTGAATTATTTAGATGTACTGTGATTAGTTCTCTTTTACCCAAAATTAATAATACTATAAAGAAAAGTTGAAAGTTTGTAAGTATTGAGAGGTAGCATTTAATATGGGGGTTCACTGCATTGTACTATTCAGCATTTTCCAGTCCAACTTGAGCAGACTGTGGTATAATGAGTGTGATCAGTACTGTGCTCTGGTGTAGTGCTTCACCATAAATAGAATAATAATAATATAATATGATACACTGTGTGTGGTGTTATTGACTGAAAGAATCAAACAGCTCACTGTGTTTTACAGTATGTTTATGAGACTGCTATACACAAATAACCCGCACATAGAAGAGAGGAGCTTACGACAACGTTTCAGTATGACTTTGTAAATGTTCCGAGTCGGACCGAAACGTCGTCGTAAGCTCCTCTCTTCTATGTGCAGGTTATTTGTGTATCATTCCAGTCATGGTATTGTGCAGACTGTTACATAATGGGGAATGATCTGTCCTGTGTTGTACTGGTTTTCTGGCCAGACTAGCTTGGTATGTCAGCTTCAGATCAGGTCATATACTCAAAAACTTAACTTATTGAAGTTTCTGAGGATGTAAGGGAATTTAGAGAATTAATGTAAATTGTGATTGGTTCTGTCTAGTCTTTTTGTCTCAATAGTATAGTTATTTTATTTAATACATCAATGTTTAGACTTTTGTTGCAGCACAATTCAAGAAATGAAACCATAAAATCAGATAGTCCAGTAATCTTGATATGTTCCATGAAGCATTAAAGAATTAGCTAATGTGCAAAGTGTTGATACTAATGGACACCACAGCATTAAGGGTCGACACTATGAGGTACATAACTCCTTCTCACCCACTGACAACCCATTCCATCTAGGTATATTCTGACAGCATCTTGTCACTCACTGTTTTGTTTATATTATTGTCATCACTTACTAGTCTCTGGATGTTAACCATGGCATCTAAGAGGCATGCTACTGATACTGGAGGTACTAACAAGAAGACCAGGCATGAACATGAGTTTTGTGTAAATAGATCAACCATTCATACAATAAGGAATGATGAGGGGAAAAAATAAGAATTTGTGCATTATGTAGTACAGATTTATCACCTGTTCAGAAGAATGTCAAAAGAGGTTACTACAGCTAAATAAGATGGAAAAGTTACTTAATGTGTGGATTGAGGGAAAAGACAGGGGCCCACTCAGTGCTTAGATAATAAGGCACAAATTTCCATCATTCCTGTTTGTGAGTTGTTAAGCGCATGCACACAAAACACGCACGCAGCTCCAAGGCCAGGAGCTGTGACTCAACCCCTTCAACCACAAATAGGTGAGTACACAGACACACATGTGCATGGGGCCAGGAGCTGTGACTCAACCCCTACAAAGAAAATTAAGTGAGTACATGCACACACATACACATATTCATGGGGTAAGGAGCTGTGACTCAACCCCTGCAACCACAACAAGGTGAGTACACACACACACACACACACACACACACACACACACACACACACACACACACACACACACACACACACACACACACACACACACACACACACACACACACACACACACACACACACACACGTGTGTACATACTTATGGTGCAGAGGCATCTGCGGGGACAAAGAATGTTATCCATGGAAGTAAAAAGGGGAATGTATGAGAACATAGTGGTACCAATGCTCTTATATGGGTGTGAAACATGGGTGGTGAATGTTGCAACAAGGAAGCTGGAAGCAGTGGAGATGTGTCTATGGGCAATGTGTAGTGTGAATATTATGCAGAGAATATGTAGCTTGGAGATTAAAAGGAGGTGTGAGGTTACTAAAAGTATTATCAAGAAAGTTGAACAGGGGTTATTGAGGTAGTTTAGACATTTAGAGAGGATAGAATGAAATAGGTTGACTTGGAGAGCATGTAAATCTGTAGTGGAGGGAAGGTAAGATAAGGGTCATCCAAGGAAAGATTGGAGGGAGGGAGGTAGAGATTGCTTTGTGTGCAAGGGGCTTATACATCCAGCAAGCCTGTGTGAGCATGTGAGATAGGAGTGGAGGCAAGTGGTTTTTATGACATGATGTGCTGTTGGGGCATAAGCAAAGTAACATTTATGAAGGGAGAGAATCCATAATTAGGAGTTGTAGCTGAAGTAAGAATCTTTTGAGATACTGTACTGTGGTAATGTTTTTGGTTAACCCTTTGAGGGTTTCGGCCGTACTAGTACAGCTTACGACCCAGGGTTTTTGACGTACTAGTACGCCTAAATTCTAGCGCCCTCAAATCTAGTGGGAGAAAGCTGGTAGGCCTACATATGAAAGAATGGGTCTATGTGGTCAGTGTGCACAGTATAAAAAAAATCCTGCAGCACACAGTGCATAATGAGAAAAAAAAAACTTGACTGTTTTTGTGGAATAAAACAGCGACTTTGCACTGTATTTTCGTATGGTATTTATTGTTGTATTCTAGTTTTCTTGGTCTCATTTTATAGAATGGAAGACATATTACAGAAATTGAGATGATTTTGACTGGTTTTACAATGAAAAGTACCTTGAAATTGAGCTCAAAGTAGCAGAAATGTTCGATTTTTACCAAAGTTCAAAAGTAAACAAATCATGCTACACGTCCAATACACATCAACTGGGAGTCTAATATTCTTTTGCAAGTGCGCCAATATTATTTATACCATTTTTTACACTAATGCAGTAGTCTGCATAACAGTAAATCTTCTATTTTTTGTGAGAATTAAAATTCAAAGTGGAAAGCAAAAGAATGTAAGAGGGGCCTTGAGACGTGACTAATGAACAAAGGAAATGTCATTTTAGTGCCAGGAATGTCTTTCTTGTTTATTCTGGACCCTATTCGGAAATTGGCATCTTTTGAAATTTGTGTGAAATTGGCAAAATTGCTAAATTCTGACCACTGTATTGGATAGTTGAAATTGGTAAATGGGTGGTTTCTTGACTCATTCGATAGAAAAAAATGGAGTTCTAGCGAAATATTCATGTTTTTTGTCGACTAGTGCAGTGGAATTGGCCGAAAATGGGGCTCAAAGTGGGCAAAATCACCGATGCGTGAACATCGCCGAGACCACTAACTTCGCGAGAGCATAATTCCATAAGTTTTCCATCAAATTTCATAATTTTGGTGTCATTATGATCGGGAAAAGATTCTCTATCTTTTCATAAGAAAAAATTTTTTTTTTTTTTTTAAATTTGGCCGACCCTGAGAACGAGTCTCGGAGAGGGCCTGTCGACCCTCAAAGGGTTAAGATTGAATTAGCTCCAACTATACTGTTAACCCTTCAACTGTCAAACAGTTGATCTACGTCTTACCACTAGTGCTCATGACATTGAGCAGTGCGCTATTTTTCCTGCCACCAAATTTAGTGCCAGAGGCCTGATAGGCTTAAACAGTACAGAATGGGTCTTAACACTCAGTGTGCACAGTACATGTATTAAAAAAATCTGGGACCACTTAATATCTTGTGGGAGCACCAGTTCAATTGAGTGCCAGCTAGAGCAAACAGCATGGCAAACCCCAGGGATTCACTAATGCCATGTCATGTTAACACTCCTTTTTTGAGGAAAGTGATGTTGCTCCCAAGTTAATTGACTTTGAAATGGCTGTGGCCACAAGTGGTCGAGGAAATATCAAAAGCCTAGAATAATCCACGTGCAACGTTCGTGCCATGTCCTTTCAATTTTGATGTGTCTGGTAGTGTCATCCTGGCAGAATGTCCTATCACCTATGCACTAAGTAGAGAGAGGAGAGAGAGAGAATTTTGCAATGTGTAATACACTTTTAGTTGGCTGGCTGGCTGGCTCTAAGTGTCTCTGTCTGCCTCTCTCTGAGCCATTCATGAACCAGAATCAAGGACTAAGTAAGTTTATTTAGGCACAGGTACACGTAAGTACAGTTATCATATATAGTGTAAAGTACCTAGGGTAACCCCCCAAAAGATAGACAAAAATGCTTTACTGTGCTTGTAGATATGAGGCATAAGTATGACTGTGGCAAGGAATATACACTTCAGCCATAGTTGTATCTCTCCACTTGTTCAGACATAACCGGTTCTGCAAACGTGTAAGTAAGTAAGTTTATTCAGGTATACACAATTACAGTTACATAGAATTATCATACATAGCAGCGTATGTGTAGAGAACCTGGGATAACCCAAAAAAATTCAGACAGAGTGTGTAATACCTGTTGGTTCACAAACCTCTCCCTGAGAGAGATAGAGACATATGTTTATTTATGTGGAACAGTGAGAACAAATTAAAAACATATGCCAAGGTTCTCTGGGAGCAGTGCATGATCAGCAATATGGAGTGACTGCACCATCAGCAGTGTAGAGTGACATTCTTAACCCTTTCAGGATCGAGAGGCCCTTTCCTAAGCTTCTCAGGGTCGAAAGTTTTTTGCAAAAAAAAAAAATTAATTCTTCTTATGAAAAGATAGAGAATCCATTCCCGATCATAATGACACCAAAAGTACGAAATTTGATGGAAAACTTATGGAATTATGCTCTCGCGAAGTTAGCGGTCTCGACGATGTTTACGCATCAGCGATTTCGCCCACTTCGAACCCTATTTTCGGCCAATTTCAGTGTACTAGTGTACAAAAATCATATCTATTTTGCTAGAACTCCATTTTTTCTATCGAATGAGTACAAGAAACCACCTATTTACCGATTTCAGCTATCCAATAAAGTGGTCAGAAATTAGCAATTTTGCCAATTTCACACAAATTTCAAAAGATGTCAATTTCCAAATAGGGTCCAGAATAAACAAGACAGACACTCCTGGCACTAAAATAACATTTCCTCTGTTCATTAGTCACGTCTCAAGGCCTCTCTTACATTTCTTTTGCTTTCCACTTTGAATTTTTATTCTCACAAAAAATAGATTTACTGTTATGCAGACTACTGCATTAGTGTAGAAATGATATAAATAATATCAGCACAATTGTGAAAGAATATTAGACTCACTAGTTGACGTGTATTGGACGCATGGCATGATTTGTTTACTTTTGAACTTTGGCAAAAATCGAACATTTCTGCTACTTTGAGCTCAATGTCAAGGTACTTTTCATTGTGAAACCAATCAAAATCATCTCAATTTCTGTAATATGTCTTCCATTCTATAAAATGAGACCAAGAAAACTAGAATACACCCATAAATACCATACAAAAATGCAGTGCAAAGTAGCTGTTTTAAACCAAAAACACGGTCAAAGTTTTTTTTCTCATTACGCACTGTACTGCAGGATTTTTTTTATACTGTGCACACTGACCACATAGACCCATTATTTCATATGTAGGCCTACCAGCTTTCTCTTGCTAGATTTGAAGGTACTAGAATTTAGGCATTCTAGTACATCAATAACCCTGATGCATAAGCCATACTAGTACATTGGAAACCCTGAAAGGGTTAACTGACACTGTGTTTCAAGGGGTTCATATACTCCATCACTTCTGAAAACATTTCTGGGTCCTATAAATAATTTGTATATATTTCGAAACAATGATATGTGGCCAAGGCAGATGACCATGTTCACTTGTCAGTGTGTTTGTGACTGTTTGATTAATATTTCTGTACCTTATATTAGTGTCAGAACAATGATTGGCTATGATATCACTAGATCTACTATATAAATTGTATTTCTTTTTTTTTTTACGTCAGCTGTTTCCCACCAAGGTACGGTAGCCCAAAATGAAAGAAAATCCAAAAAGAAAGAAAAAACTTTCATCATCATTCAACACTTTCACCATCACTCACACATAATCACTGTCTTTGCAGAGGCACTCAGATACAACAGCTTAGACGTCCCTCCAAACTGCCAATATCCCAAACCCCTCCTTTAAAGTCTAGGCATTGTACTTCCCATTTCCAGGACTCAAGTCCAGCTAACCGGTTTCCCTAAATCCCTTCACAAAATATTACCCTGCTCACACTCCAACAGCTTGTTAGGTCCCAAAAACCATTCGTCTCCATTCACTCCTATCTAGCATGCTCACGCACGCTTGCTGGAAGTCCAAGCCCCTTCGCCCACAAAACCTCCTTTACTCCGTCCCTCCAACCTTTTCGGGGACGACCCCTACCCTGCCTTCATAAAAACACAAGAACGTAAAAACTACGTAAATTAAAAGAAGAGGAGAGAAAAACGCAAGCGGCAGGACTCCGTGTTGCCGTCCAATGAGCGTCTGGTGCCAATTTTGCCACCTTATATATCAATAAGACTGACCCCCAAAAAATTTGGTCTTATTACGCACAGAAAATTAACCCCTCTTTTTTTTTTTTTTTTTTTTTTTTTTTTTTTTTTTTTTTTTCAAAGTATTCAGAGCTCTAGCAGTAAAGCGTAGATAAATGGTTTTGACAGTTAAAGGGTTAATAAAAGTTTAGGCAGAGTGAATTGTGCTACACTCAGGGAAGAGTAAAATGCATAAGTGATAAATAACACACTCTGCTTACCTTTGAAATGTGATATCTAAGCAGTGAACGTCTATAAGTTTCATAAATTTAATAAGTGTAGTATAATATAATCTTTATATTGGCAGTTTGTTCAGAATATGGGTCATATATTTGAATTTACAGTATTTTGTAGCTTTCACTTGTACATAGATTGTATCATGTCCACAGAATCTATTGTAGCCTACTAGGTATAATTTTAAATTAAATTTGAGAGAACATTTCAGAATTTTGAAGTTATAGAGCACACAAAACTGTAAGGAGCTTATATGTTTAGTATTTATAAGGATCTAAGCAAGAGTGTCATTTGTTATAAAAAAATTGAGTCTGTTCTGAATCTTTTGATGTCACTTGCCCTGGCACTAAGTACAGTAATCCCCCCATATCCACAGGGACACATTCCAAGACCTATCATGGATACCCAAAACCCCGGATACTAGTGAACCTTATAAATAAATTGTTTTTCACTTACACACCTATGATAAAGTTTAATTGATAAATTACACACAGTAGTTTGAGAATTATCAATTTGCACTGATGGGAAGCACTTTATGGCTTCTCTTTGGACTTTGAAGAACTTCCACCATAACTACTTTTGCACTTTGTGGTCATTATTAAGCAAAATTAAGAGTATTTTCAGGCCAGGGTAAACCATGGATAACTGCAACTGCGGAAACCGAATCTGCGGATACAGGGGTTCTACTGTATACGGAGATCCAAGTTTGGTTTCAGAGCTAAAAGGGTGGTAATCAGATATAAATTTTATCATTGCTGTTGTATAAATACTTTTAACACTTTTGCTTTATTCTAGGTATAGCCATCAGTATTTTGCTGTATATTGGGTTTCACAGTCAGCATGCTAGTGCTCCTGTTGGGGCATGGAACACCAGCAGTGGACCTGCAGTGGTGACTCTGGACACAAAGTTCACACCCCTGCATCCCTCAGCATTTACAAACTTCATTACTTCGGAAGTAAGATGCCAGATTTTCTAGAGAGAAAACATGTCTAATGGAAGACAAATCTAAATGTGTTTAACAAAACATGTCTAATGCAAGATGAGTCTGAATGTGTGTTTGACATCATGACACTTGACGTTACAAGACACTTAATTGTTTGACTGAAAGTCTCGTTTTCATATCAACTTGCCATTTTTTTTTTTTATTTAATATACCGCTCTCCTATAGCTCCACAAAGTGTAATATTGTACTATAGATATTGGTCCGAAATGCCTTGGCATGATAGTGGTTTTCTTTGTACTTAACTAATCAAATTTGTAATTACACATTGTAACCTTTGCAAAGAAATAAAATCTTTATCTTTAAAAAAAAAAATTTAATATTGTCTTGTAGATATTATACCTGTAACTATTTATGTTTTTAGTAAACCTGGATTTGTTTCTCCTTGAGTGGCCAGACTCCATCTTTGTTAATGTGAAGATATTTGAACATAATGTGCATATTTGGTTTGTTTTGTAATACTATCCTATTTCTTGGATCATTACTGATTGCCTCTTATTTCCTGGGCACTGCATGACTCCTACAGGTTTAGCACTTCCCCAGGTTAAGTTCCTGAAATTGGTTTATATTGAATATCGCATTAGGTAAAGTGAAGACCTTATGGAACAAATAGAGTTACTTTCTTGATAAATTCAAATTAACCAAGCAAACTTTACAGCTAATAACATCCAACAACTTTATTTTTAACTTTTGAAGGCATGGATTGGTAAGTGACTGGAAGGTTTTGGTAATATAATCAAAAGCTCCAGTGGCAGGTCATCATATGTCTATAACCTGCATCAGGAAGCATTTGTCCTGTTACCTGATCAATGTTCCTTTTTCTAACCTAAAACAAGTTCTTTTAAACTTTGTAATTTGTCAGACAGAATAGTTTTTCATCCCTTACATTGTAACTGTTGCTGCTTGCTGATTTGGTAATGTGTAATGAGGAGTGATGTGTCCCTGTATAATACTTGTACAAATACTATATGGTAAGAGGTATCAATTCCCACAACCATCACCTGCCAATGGTTGCTGGTGCTTGTTGATATGTAAGTGTGTGCATAGAGGGTTAATGTTATTCTCTACAATATCTGTACAGACATGTGACACAATATCTGTACAAACTTTTTTTTTTTTTTTAACAAGTCGGCAGTCTCCCACCGAGGCAGGGTGGCCCAAAAAAAAAAGACAATCCCCAAAAAGAAAACACTTTCATCATCATTCAACACTTTCACCTCACTCACACATAATCACTGTTTTTGCAGAGGTGCTCAGAACACAACAGCTTAGAAGCATATACCTATAAAGATACACAACATATCCCTCCAAACTGCTAATATCCCAAACCCCTCCTTTAGAGTGCAGGCATTGTACTTCCCATTTCCAGGACTCAAGTCCGGCTATATAAAAATAACCGGTTTCCCTGAATCCCTTCACTAAATATTACCCTGCTCACACTCCAACAGATCGTCAGGTCCCAAGTACCATTTGTCTCCATTCACTCCTATCTAGCACGCTCACGCACGCTTGCTGGAAGTCCAAGCCCCTCACCCACAAAACCTCCTTTACCCCTTCCCTCCAACCTTTTCGAGGACAACCTCTACCCCGCTTTCGTTCCCCTACAGATTTATATGCTCTACATGTCATTCTACTTTGATCCATTCTCTCTAAATGACCAAACCACCTCAACAACCCCTCTTCAGCCTCTGGCTAATACTTTTATTAACTCCACACCCTCTCCTAATTTCCACACTGTGAATTTTCTGCATAATATTTACACCACACATTGCCCTTAAACAGGACATCTCCACTGCCTCCAACCACCTCCTTGCTGCTGCATTCACAACCAAGCTCCACACCCATATAAGAGTGTTGGTACAACTATACTTTCATACATTCCCTTCTTTGCCTCCAAAGAAAACGTTTTTTGTCTCCACATATATCTCAATGCACCACTCACCTTTTTTCCCTCATCAATTCTATGATTAACCTCATCCTTCATAAATCCATCCGCCGACAAAGTCAATTCCCAAGTATCTGAAAACATTCACTTCTTCCATACTCCTCCTCCCCAATTTGATATCCAATTTTCTTTATCTAAATCATTTGATACCCTCATCACCTTACTCTTTTCTATGTTCACTTTCAACTTTCTACCTTTACACACACTCCCAAACTCATCCACTAACCTTTGCAATGTTTCTTTAGAATCTTCCATGAGCACAGTATCATCAGCAAAAAGCAACTGTGTCAATTCCCATTTTGTATTTGATTCCCCATAATTTAATCCCACTCCTCTCCCGAACACCCTAGAATTTACTTCTTTTACAACCCCATCTATAAATATATTAAACAACCATGGTGACATTACACATCCCTGTCTAAGACCTACTTTTACCGGGAAGTAGTCTCCCTCTCTTCTACACACCCTAACCTGAGTCTCATTATCCTCATAAAAACTCTTTACAGCATTTAGTAACTTACCACCTATTCTATATACTTGCAACATCTGCCACATTGCTCCCCTAACCACTCTATCATATGCCTTTTCTAAATCCATAAATGCAATAAAAACTTCCCTACCTTTATCTAAATACTGTTCACATATATGCCTCAATGTAAACACTTGATCTACACATCCCCTACCCACTCTGAAACCTCCTTGCTCATCCGCAATCTTACGTTCTATCTTACCTCTAATTCTTTCAGTTATAACCCTACCGTACACTTTTCCTGGTATACTCAGTAAACTTATTCCTCTATAATTTTTACAATCTCTTTTGTCCCCTTTCCCTTTATATAAAGGGACTATACATGCTCTCTGCCAATCCCTAGGTACCTTCCCCTCTTTCATACATTTATTAAACAAAAATACCAACCACTCCTACACTATATATACCCCTGCTTTTAACATTTCTGTCATAATCCCGTCAGTTCCAGCTGCTTTACCCCCTTTCATTCTACGTAATGTCTCACGCACTTCCCCCACACTCACATCCTGTTCTTCTTCACTCCTAAAAGATGGTATACCTCTCTGGCCAGTGCATGAAATTACCACTTCCCTTTCTTCATCAAAATTTAAAAGGTCCTCAAAATATTCTCGCCATCTACCCAAAACCTCCGTCTCCCCATCTACTAACTCCCCTACTTTGTTTTTAACTGACAAATCCATTTGTTCCCTAGGCTTTTTAACTTGTTTAACTCCAAAATTTTTCTAATTTTCATTAAAATTTCTTGACAGTGCCTCTCCCACTCTATCATCTGCTCTCCTTTTGCACTCTCTCACCACTCTCTTCACCTTTCTTTTACTCTCCATATACTCTACTCTTCTTATAACACTTCTGCTTTGTAAAAATCTCTCATAAGCTAACTTTTTCTCTTTTATCACGCCCTTTACTTCATTCCACCAATCACTCCTCATTCCTCCTGCACCCACTCTCCTATAACCACAAACTTCTGCCTCACATTCTAATACTGCATTTTTAAAACTATTCCAACCCTCTTCAACCTCCCCACTACTCATACTTTCACCAGCCCACCTTTCTGACAATAGTTGCTTATATCTCACCCGAACTTCCTCCTCCCTTAGTTTATACACTTTCACCTCCCTCTTGCTTGTTGCCATTTTCCTCTTTTCCCATCTACCTCTTACTTTAACTGTAGCTACAACTAAATAATGATCCGATATATCAGTTGCCCCTCTATAAACTTGTACATCCTGGAGCCTACCCATCAACCTTTTATCCACCAATACATAATCTAACAAACTACTTTCATTACGTGCTATATCATACCTTGTATATTTATTTATCCTCTTCTTCATAAAATATGTATTACTTATTACCAAACCTCTTTCTACACATAGCTCAATTAAAGGCTCCCCATTTTCATTTACCCCTGGCACCCCAAATTTACATTTTTGCCCACTTTAGCATTGAAATCCCCAACCACCATTACTCTCACACTTGGTTCAAAACTCCCCACGCATTCACTCAACATTTCCCAAAATCTCTCTCTCTCCTCTACACTTCTCTCTTCTCCAGGTGCATATACGCTTACTATAACCGACTTTTCACATCCAACCTTTATTTTACTCCACATAATCCTTGAATTAATGCATTTGTAGTCCTTCTTTTCCTGCCATAACTTATCCTTCAACATTATTGCTACTCCTTCTTTAGCTCTAACTCTATTTGAAACCCCTGACCTAATCCCATTTATTCCTCTCCACTGAAACTCTCCCACCCCCTTCAGTTTTGTTTCACTTAAAGCCAGGACATCCAGCTTCTTCTCATTCATAACTTCCACAATCATCTCTTTCTTATCATCTGCACAACATCCACGCACATTCAGACTTCCCACTTTGACAATTTTCTTCTTATTGTTTGTAGTAATTATTACAGGAAAAGGGGTTACTAGCCCATTGTCCCTGGCATTTTAGTTGACTTTTACAACACGCATGACTTACGGAGGAAAGATTCTTATTCCACTTCCCCATGGATATAAAAGGAAAAGAACTATTAAGAATAAAATCAAAGAAAACTCAGATGAGTGTGTATAAATAAACATGTACATGTATGTGTAGTGTGACCTAAGTGTAAGTAGAAGTAGCAAGATGTACCTGTAATCTTGCATATTTATGAGACAGACAAAAGACACCAGCAATCCTACCATCATGTAAAACAATTACAGGCTTTCGTTTCACACTCATTTGGCAGGACAGTAGTACCCCCCTGGGTGGTTGCTATCTACCAACCTACTACAGGCAGGCAATATCACCTACCACTGGCATCACCTGCCTCCACCACCATCACCACCATCATCAGAATTGGTAAAAATAAGCCACAATTCCTTACATAACTGTACCAAATATATCGGAACTCTCCACTCCTATACCAAAGGGGAGAAGGGGTTACTAGAACCTTGCTCACAGCATGTTAGTCACCTCTTATGACACGCATGGCTTACAGAGG